TCATTGCTGGAAATGGAGTGCCCTAGAAAAATTAATGGCCTAGAATCTTTAAATTGTTCAAAAAACTTTGTCGCCTAGAAGCCCAAATGACTGGTCTAGGATCTGAAATTCTAGTTTTTAGAAAGCACTCAGTTGCGGCCTAGAATATACAAACCATGGTGGCGTAGAATTTTACATAACGTGGCCGCCGTGGCCTAGAAATCCGAATGGGGAAGATCCAGAAAAAGAGGTGGCCTAGAAACTTAATCGTCTGTCCTCGAATCCCTAATTACATTTTGTGATGAGGCATAGCTATGAATCTAAAAGCCTGNTGTTCCGCCACCTGCCCGGCCCACTTTTCACTATGCAGAAAATCCAAAGCATTCAAAAAATTAAAACAATGCAAAAATTTCAAAAATTGGGGATTTGGAGATTAAATAAAAGGTTTCCAAAAAATCCCAAAATCTCAAAGACTCATTTTGTGAAAGTTGTGAGTTTGAGAAAAGTTTCCAAATAGCAAGCCTTCCAGATTTTTAGGATTTAAAAATTTCCCAGTCCATCCATGAATCCACATATCCAGATGTCTCGTCCCTTACATCAAGATTATCAGCGATTCCATTCATAAATTCATCGCTTTTCCATGGTTCCAATGCCTCCCAATCCGATTCGTTTTCCGAAAACAATTCACATAGCTTCGGGAAAACTGTCGAAAATTCTCTTTGCGAAAATTTATTCGGCCAGATTTTTAGAGTGCATAGTAGAGGATATCCGGTGGTCCAGTGTATGATTCGAGAGCTTTTCGCATCACTTTGTATACCAAATAGTTGTTGATATACGACCAATTGGCTGGAAAATTTTTTTGTTGAAAACTTTTTAATTTTGATTATTGTAGCCAAATTTTTTGAAAAATGGGCAGTTTGTTTCTTGGATTTTTTGCAAAATTTTTAGACCTTTTTAGGGTTTTTCAGCTATTTTTGAAATTTTTTCTTGATTTTTTGTCTGAAATTTGATTTTTCTTGACGGAAGGTTACTGTAGATTACTGTAGTTTTTTGCAAACATCATCACGTCAAAATGCAGACAAAAAAAAAACTACAAAAGAGGAAATTCGTTTTCTACAGTAATCTACAGTAATCTTCATGAACACCATCTCCCATCAAACTTCAGACAAAAAACCGGGAAAATCGAAAAAAAATTTTTTTAAAATAGCTGAAAACCCTAAAAAGGTCTAAAAATTTTGCGAAAAATTCGCGAAAAAATCAATTTTTCTTTTAAAAAATTGCACAAAAAAAATCGCTGTATTTTCGGAGTTTTCAGTTTTGGCGGGAATTCAAAAATTTGCAAGAACCTGCTGGAATTTCTCAGTGGGAGTTTTTTTCATAGTTACAAACGGGCCGGCCCGGGCAGGTGGCGGACCGGCTGATAACTTTTCCCTAGAACGAGATGTTCAGACAGTTTTGGTACCAAATGATACATCTCGACAGGGCCCAGCCTATACCATTTGAGTCGGATTCCGGTCTGATCACATGCCGCAACCTGGGATTGAATGACAATTTTCGACCAATTTGACAAAATGCAGATTTTTTGTCATTCAAACACATTTTTCGGACCGGAATCCGGCTCGAATGATATAGACGTGATGAGCCCTGTCGAGATCTATCATTTGGTGCCAAAACCGTCTGAATACCTCGTTTTAGAGACAATTTATCAGCCGGCCCGCCACCTGCCCGGACCGGTCCACTTGCAACTGTGAAAAAGAATTGCAAAAACTAGCTGAAAATCCTAAAAAGGTCTAAAAATTTTGCAGAAAAATTCAAGAAAAAATCAATTTTTGTTTCGAAAAATCGCTAATTTTTTGGACATTTTTGGTAATTTTAGAACCAGAATCGTCCAAAAAAAAAAAACTCACAAGCAAAGCCAGAAATTCCATCGGGAAAGTGATCGATCAGCTTCTCATACATATCATTATCATCCGATGCATTCGGAAAATAAGGCATATGTGTTAGTCTCAATTGATCCGCCATTGGAATACTCGTCTCGATTGGAATCCAATGAACCATCGGTGGATAGATGTCGCCTGTTGGTAGTTTTAGAACATTTACGGTTCTTTTGACGTTTGGTCGGTTGTCACGATCATCGGAAGAGGAAGAATATGGCTGCAAAATTGGAGTTTTTGCTCAAAAAATCAAAATTTTTAGCTGAGAATCGCATTTTTGGCTTCTAAAATTTGAATTTTTCACAATTTCAAGTCATTTTAAGTGCTAAAAATGAGTTTTTCAGTTTAAAAATGTTCAATTTTCAATTAGAAATCGCATTTTTGGCATTGAAAAACCGAATTTTTCAGCCAAAAAAAAACCAGATTTACAGGCGAGTTCCAGTAAATTCAAAAGCTGAAAATAAGTTTTTTAGCTCAAAAACTTGCATTTTCCGGCGATTTTCAGTCTTTAGCAAGCACAAAATTTGAAAATGCGTTGTTTTGAAGCTTAGAAATCAAATATTTCGGCGAAAAATCGATTTTTCCGGTCGAAAAAATATAATATTTGGCAATTTTCGATAATTTCCAATGTTGAAATTGAGTTTTTTAGCTTGAAAAAGTTGACTTTGAACTGAAAATCGCAGTTTTAAGCTTGAAGCAATTTAAACCACTCAAAATGTGTTTTTAGCGGACGCTCAAAATGTGTTTTTAGCTCAAAAAAGGGGTTTCCAGCTCTAAAACCCCCAATTTTCAACTGGAAATCGCATTTAAGCTAAAAATCGCATTTTCGGCTGAAAAAATTGAATTTTCAGCTAAAAAATCACAACTTCAGCTTTGAAAAACCGAGTTTTCGGGCCGAAAAATCTTGCATTTTCCGCCGATTTCTAGTCATTTCGATGCTAAAAATCGAGTTTTTGTGGGATGAAAAATCAAATAATTCAGCCAAAAACCCGAATTTTTCAGCTAAAAATCGTATTTTCAGCTGCAAATCCACATTTTTAGGATGGAAAAATCGAATTTTCAGCAAAAAAAAACAGCATTTTCCGCCGATTTCTAGTGATTTATAACGCAAATCGAGAGTTTTTAGCTTTAAAATACTAAAATTTCAACTGAAAACCGCTTTTTTTTCAAGCCGAAACCCTCTGTAAATCAAATTTTTGGGATTTGCGAAAATTCGGTATTTTTTCTAAAAATCTCGGCTTTAAAAGAATCGGACTTTCAGACAAAAATATACATTTTTCACAGTTTTTAGTACAACTAAAAACCTAAAATCCTACCTTTGCCCCACCAACAAAATCCCTAACAATCGTCTCTCCAAACCCGGGAATCCATCCATCCGGCGTCTCTTCCCACTCGGCTACTTGTAAATTTCGCATACGAATGCCCAAATTTCTCAATCGAGGATCATATGCTTCATCTGCTTTGGCCTGCCATGGCCTCAATTTCTCTTTTCTGTCTTCTTCGACCATTTTATTGAATTCCTGTCGAATCGGAACATAAATCTCTTTAATTTTCGCAATCGCCGCGTCGACTTCCGCATTTTCAGAACCATTTTTGTATTCGACGTCTCCGTAGATTCGCTGAATACCAGTGATTTTTTGAAAATCCATCTTCTTTGCTCTCTGCGATTCTTCCACGTAGACATCGGATGATTCTCGGTGTTTTTCAGCTTCTAACCGCCTTCTGGCCTTCTTTTTTGGTCTTTCTGATGGTGTATCCATTGTGAATTTTGACTTTCTAGGACCACTTTTACGGCCTTCTTGTGCCTCCATTTTTCTGAAAAAAAAACTATATTTTTGGGAGAAAAATCTTCCAAAAACATTGAATAACAAGAAAAACAAATATTTCAAGACAATCATAACTATAAAATGACTGAAAAATACGCTCAAAAAGGCCTAAAAATCAATCTCCTCATTTTTGAAAACCGTGGGAAGGCGAAGCAAACGCGCGCCACTGCTAATGAAATTGGCGCTCGGGATTCAAAAAAGAATGGTCATCGAACATGGGCGCGATGATTTATGAAAAAAAAGATCGAAAAGCACCAAAAACTGAAAAAAAATTAAGAAAATTTTATTTAATTTGAAGCTAAGTATTGTCGAATTAAAAACAGTGAGACCTGGAAAATTTCGCGGGCGGCGTTCTTACAACTTTGAGCCCATGTATCTCAGACTCTGTAAAAGATATCAGAAAGTAATGCACAAATAAAATGTTGCTGACATTATGATAAACATTTTGTCAGCTGATCACTTTTTGATATCTTTAACAGGAAAGGAGATATATACGCTCAAAGTTGACGGTTCGGACGGCGTTCTTTTTTTTCAGAATCAATATTTTCTAACCAACTAAATCAGATAGGATAGAACTCGGCGAGTACTACAAAATGATACTGATTGAAAAGCCGTATCTTGTCTATGAACAAAGTTACAAGTCATAAAGTGGCCGGGCCTTGTCGCGTGGGTCCGGGCCGGGCCTCTGTTTTTTGTCTCTAACTTTGTTCATTGATAACATACAGCTTTCCAAATAGTATAATTTTGTAGTACTTGTCGATTTATATCATATCTGATCTAGTTGGTATAAAAATATTGATTCTGAAAAAAGATATGACAGGGCCCGGATTACAAGTATGGAATATTAAATATAATTTTCTTTAATTTTCAAATACTTCTAGATTCAACCGTCGAGGCGATCTTGCACGTTGGAGATATGTACAATACATCGACTGTTATTCGAAAATGCGAAGAATATCTTTTGGAAAAATCTGGAAAGGATTTGAAGAAAAAATTACAGATTTCCACTCAAAATCGTCTGGAAAAAATGAAGGTAAATATCGATTACCGTAAAACCTGTAACAGAAGGGCTCTCTAACTTCCAACTTTGAGAGCCCATATATCTCGATTTCTGTGAAAGATATCAAAAAGTGGTCAACTGATAAATTGTTTACCATAATATCACCAATATCTTATTAGTTGACACATTTTTGATATCTTTTACAGGAATCTAGATAAATTGTCTTGAAGTTGACAGTGTGGGGGGAGGGGGGCTTCTATTACAGGTTTAACGGATTTTGGAGAATTTCTGTAATTTAAAACTACTAATTTTTACAATACATTTCCAGACCCAATGTATCTCGAAAATCAATACAATCGACGATGTTAGAAAACTTCTCCCTGGTGATCTCAGCGATTGGACCCATCGGTTGCGCACAGAATCCTTCGAAATTGCGCTTCTTCAGATTAATTTCTTGGATTTTTCTAGTTTTTTTTCCAATGTTTCAATGAATTTTGCACGAATCTTGATGGCTTTTTTTTTTGAATTTAGAAACTACAATTTTTTCTTCTAAAAAGTGTTTTCTGTAGAAGAAGAAAAATTTCGAGATTCGAAATTCGAAAATTCAAAAATTAGAAACACAAAATGTTTAAAAATTTGAATGTTTTCAATCTAAAAAACCGGAATTTTAAGCAGTTTTTTGGCATTAAAATTTAGTTTTAAACGATTATTTTGCTGAAAATCGCAAAATTTCGAAAGTTTAATCTTTCGAACGTACAAAAATCAGGAAATCAAAAATTTAAAAATTCCAAAAAAGGTTTTTTTTTCATTTTTCAAGAAAAAAGATTTTTAGAAGTTTTTTGACATTAAAATCTAGTTTTTAAGGCTTATTTTGCTGAAAAACCCCAAAATTCTGAAAATACTCAAAACCTAAAAAGTTTTAAAAATTCGAATTTTTCAAAAAAAAAAAACGTTTTTTTTTCAAAATTCTCACATTCTCTATCCAAACAAAAACACGAGAAGCTACACAATAATATAATCCTAAAACAATTGAAAAAACAAAAAAAATATATTTAGCTGAGACAAAAACACAAAAAACCGGCTCTAAATTTAAAAATATATAATTAAAAAAGGAAAATAGAAATATCTAGAAGAACCACCACGATTTGGGTTTTCCCTTATTCAAATCCTTCTCGAGATCCTTCAAAAATTGTTGAGTGTATTTTCGAAGACGCTCATCACCGCTTCGCGACATTTGGACCGCTTTTCGAGCGTATTCCGCTGCTTCTTCCTAGAAAATTTTTTTGGAAAAGTTTTGGCGGGAAATTCGAGAAATTTGAAATTTCATAATTTTTTCAAAATTTCAGAAAAAATCGAAAATTTTCGAAAAAAACATTTGAATTTTTTTTTCAAGTTTTCCGGTATTTTTAATGCTAGAACAGTCAAAATTGAAATCATTTTTGGCCTAAAAATGGAATTTTTGATCCCAAAAATCTCTGTTTTTTTTCAAATCGCTGAGCAACGATTGCTCACCTTTTGCCCTGTATGGAAAAGAGCTTCCGCGTAGTTACAGTAATATCCAGGCAGCATATGAGCACATTCATTCACATAGAGAATACGATCCACACCAATTGATAGGTACTTTTTCGCCAATTCGAATCTGAAAATTTAGATAAAAATTTAGAAAAGAAATCTCGTATTTTTCTCGAATTTTGAGCCAAAAATCACTAGAAATAATATTTTTTTCAATTTCGAATTTTTCAAATGGGCCGAAATTGGTCTAAAATAGCAAAAACCCCGCTTAAAATGATTTAAAATAGACCAGAAAAGGGCTTAAAATGGTCCCAATAAGGGTCAAAATGGTTCAAAATCATTTTTTCAGATTTCGACAAATCTGAAAATCAGTACCTTACCGATTTTTGAGCACCAACGTTGCTCCGAAATTGTTCAGCATATTGATCGTGTGTCCCGAGCTGGCTCCGTAGATCTGATACGAAATCTAAAGAATTGTGTTTTTCTCTAAACTAAGAAGTTTGAAAATTTGAAAAACTTGATTTTCTAAAAAAATTGTTTTTTTTTGGAAAATTGAATTTTTGGAATTTTCAAAATATCAGAATTTCAAGGAATTTTTGAAATTCTAGATTTTTGAGTTTATGGATTTTTTGAAACTTTGAAATTCAAAATTTTTCAAAAAGGAAAAATCCGTCCCCCCAAATGTCCAGATGTCCACTACTCACCTTCATCACCTCATCCATATACTCCTCCGCCTCGGCCAATCGATTCTCTTCGCAATAATTGATCAAAAAGTTGGCATAGGCTTCCAGAGTCATCCCGAAAAGAGCAATCGGATCAGTATAGACGGCACCATAAGTGTCTACAGTATGACGATCCTCGACCAGGGCTCCGTGAGCAACACTGAAAAAAAAATTGGGAAAAAATGATTTAGTTTTTTCAAGGTCATGCCACAAATTTTTCACTGAAAAAAAAATTGGGAAAAAATGACCTAGTTTTTTCAAGGTCATGACCTGGATTTTTCTAGGTCATGATCTGGGTTTTTCTAGGTCATGACACAGATTTTTCTAGGTCATGACCTCAATTTTTTTAGGTCATGACCCAGATTATTTTACGTCGTGACCTAGTTTTTTCTAAGCCATGACCTAGTTTTGTTAGGTCATGACCTAGATTTTTTTAGGTCACGACCTGGATTTTTCTAGGTCATGACCTAGTTTTATTAGTTTTTCCAGGTCATGACCTGGATTTTTCTAGGTCATGATCTGGGTTTTTCTAGGTCATGACACAGATTTTTCTAGGTCATGACCCAGATTATTTTACGTCGTGACCTAGCTTTTTCTAAGCCATGACCTAGTTTTGTTAGGTCATGACCTAGATTTTTTTAGGTCACGACCTGGATTTTTCTAGGTCATGACCTAGTTTTATTAGTTTTTCCAGGTCATGACCTGGATTTTTCTAGGTCATGATTAGTGTGTCCTTTCGAAACGACTTCGAAGAATTTCGAGAAATTCCTCGAGGAATTTTTCGAGAAATTTTTCGTTTCATTTTTACACTTCAGCACATAAAGTAGACGGCACATATGAGCTACTTGGTGTCCTGTGGTGGAAGCCACCTCGGCAGATTTTTTGGAGGTTCTTACACGGCTTAATTTTGAAAAGCTTGCTCGGCAGCTAGGCGTATTATACGTAGAATCATGAGAGGAATCGAATGGTATCGGTTGCCGAGCAAGAAAACTAACACAGAAAAAGTTATTTTTGGAGCAGAAAAAACCATACTTGCTAAATCCCGGCCCAGCCCGCACCCGGGCTGACCCGCCGATCCAGAGACCGAAAACTTCAAAATTTTTCTGTTGATTTTTGATATACTTTTGTCAAAATAATCATTTTTAAACCCGCCTACTTTATGTGCTAAAGTGGCTTTCATTGTGTTAAGCTTGAAGAGAGCGTTCGAATGGTGGTAAGATGAACTTTCTAGCATAAAAATGAACCAAGTTATGATGAATGGAAGTTTAGTGGCTCGGGACGTCTTCAGGATTCTTCGAGAAATTTCGAGGAACCCAATCCTCGAGGAATTCCTCGAAAAATTTTTCTCGAGGAATTTTTTTCGAGGAATTTCTCTTTTCGAAAAGACACACTGGTCTTGATCTGGGTTTTTTAGGTCATGACCTGGTTTTTTCTAGGTCATGATCTAAATTTTTCTAGGTCATGACACAGATTTTTCTAGGTCATGACCTCAATTTTTTAGGTCATGACCCAGTTTATTTTAAGTCGTGACCTAGTTTTTTCTAGCTCATGACCTAGATTCTTCTAGGTCATGGCCTAGATTTCACTAGATTTTCTAGGTCATCACCTAAATTTTTCTAGGGGATACCCTAGATTTTTCCAGGTCATCATGATCTAAATTTGTATATTTTTTAAACGGTTTTTTTTCAAATTTCTAAATTTTTTTGCAATTTTTCCATACCTAAACTTCTTCATATGCTCCTCCATAACTCTCATTTGCCGCCGAACACAATGTTTGAAACCGCTCTCCGCACTCTCCAAATCGCCTTTATGCGCCAAAATATCAGCTAGCTTCAGTGAGACGCCGATGAATTCCGGATCGAAATCCTTTTTGCCGTGTAGCTGGAATTTTTTCAAAATTCCAGAATTTCGAAAATTAAAACTTCGAAATCCCATTTTTTTCAAAACTTCCAGAAATAAACCCTACCGCAACGAGACGCTGAATGACAATTCGAAAATATTTGTCCGCTTCGTCGAAATTCAATTTTTCATAGTAGGTATTGGCCATTTCATCGTAGACTCGAGTGATTGGAAGCTCCTCTTTTCGCTCTTCAGCTTCTTCTAACGCCAGTTGAAGAACTTGAATCGCGTCGTCGTATTGACGACGTTTCCGGTAGAGCCAGGACTAGAAATATGCCGAAAATTAGTTGAAAACGGCCAATTTCAAGGGTTATATGTTCAATTGGATGGGTTTGAAAATTTCAGAGTGAATTAAACGATAATTGAGTTTTAATTTTGTAATTGACAACTTTTTTGTATTATAGCTCTTTTGGTATTTGAGCTGTGCGACTTTACTCTCGAAATTTCGAAATTTCGAAAAATCAAAAGGGTACTGTAGCTTCGCCTCTTTCTCTCATGCACCCTTTTTAAAGGCGCATATCTCAAAAACCAGAAAAGCTGCAAAAAAGTTTTCAACTACAAAAATGAAGCTCGATTCTTGTTTAGTACATTCTGGGATTTTTAGACAATTCTGAAAATTTTGGAGTAGTTTTTTTTGGAATTCAAAGTTGATATACTTTTTTGGAGTACTGTAGCTCCTCAAAATGTACCTGTATAACCTTCTCCTTCAACGGATCCGTATCCAATTGAACCTTTTCAATTCCCAATACATCTTTGATAGTGGTCATCCACGACAACGCGAGTACTGCAGTGGTCCCAGTTGTCGCTGATTTCCCATATTTCGCCCATCGTCCACCTCCTCTTCCTCCCCCATTGGTTTTATCACCACTGTATCGTTGCTCTTGATGCTGTCTTCTTTCTTGTCCACGTCTGCCACGTGGATTCGATGCTCCAGACGAGAAAAAAGCGGCTGTTGAGCTCGAACGAGCGGCAGCGCTGCACAATTTCGATATGGATGAGGGCAGCATCTGGAAAAACGAGGATTATATATGTTTTTGGAGTTTTGGGAGAGAAAAATGTACTTAAATGAGGGGTTTTAAAACTAGACTAGTGAAAAAAGATGAATTTTTTGAAGATTTGGATTTAAAAAAAAAAAGGAATTCTGGGAAAAAATTGCATTTTCGGTTATGTTTTGCGAAATTTCAACCCATAATTTTTGATTTTTTTTTCTCAAATTTTAATTATATCTTTCAAATTTTATTGCTTTGTTTTCAAATTTTAATGCTATTTTTTCCAAATTTAAATGATTATTTGTTCGAATTTTTATGATTTTTTTCCGAATTTTAATAAATATATTTTCAACATTTTTTTTTCTGGAATAATAATATCAATTTTAACCTTAAAAATCAGAAAAAAAACATAGAAAATACAGAAAAATCGATTTTTTACATTTTTAAAGCGAAAAAAAAAGTGAAAAATTGATTTTTCCAGTATTTTTAACCCGTTTTTTGGTATTTTCCGGTGTAAATTCGGAAAAAAAATCATTAAAAATTGAAAAAAAGTTAACATTTTCAACACTAAATTGCATCATGATCTAGATTTTTTTTACAAAATACTGTAAAAATCAGATAAAATATGGCAGCGACCACAAAAAAACATATAAAAAATCTCAAAAATCGGAAAAAAAGGATAAAAATCGAAATTTTTTCATTGAAAAAAAAAGGAAAAAAATCTCATATCGATGCACGAAAAAAGAAGTAAAAATCCGAATAAAAAATCTTGAGTAGAAGCAAAAAGAAAACAAAAAACTAATAGAAAAATCTAAATAAAAATACAATTCTGCCTAAAAAATATCCAAAAAAAAAATCAATTATTTAATTACAGTTTGAAACTCTAAATCGGTCATTTTTCACCAATTTTTCACAAAAAAAAATTACAAAAAATTCAAAAAAACCAAGAAAAAAAGAAAGAATTAATCCATTTTCGGTGCAAAACTGGAACCACAGGAGCATCCTTTTTCCGCTACAGGATTATTCACAATTCGAAACGACGCCTTCATTAAATCCTCCACAAAGTCCACAGTGGCGCCCTGAAATTTGAAAAAATTACTGAAAAACTGATTTTTGAGACCAAAAACTGACATTTTCCCAAGTTTTCGGCTTTTTGAGGCATTTTTTTGGTGAAAAATTGACATTTTCGACTCAAAATTTGACGTTTTTCAGATAAAAAAATCTTTAAATGTAGAATTTTTGGATGAAAATAGCATTTTTAGGGTCAAAAATTACATTTTCTAGCTGAATTTCTGCTCAAAATCCAGATTTTCTGATCCGAAATTCTCAAAATTCACATTTTTCGGTCAAAAACACACTTTAATATATCCCAACGACATTTCATCGACGACAATCTCCACTCCCGTCTCTGTCCTCCACAACAAGTCGTCGTCGTTCATTTTTCGATCCAAACGAATTTTATACTCGAATCCAGAACAGCCACCGCCGTCGACTTCCAATCGAAGACGTTCTCCGGAATCTAGGACTTCCTGAAAATTTGATTTTTTTGAATTCGCAAATTTTCATAAATTTCGAAAATTTAGAAATTCAGAATCTCGGAATTTCAAAACATCTTAATTTCAGAATTCGGGAAATCCAGAATTTCAGAATCTCAGAATTCTAGAACTTCAGAATTTCAGAATTTGGGAATCTTAGAATCTCAGGTTTTCAGAATGTCAGAATTTCAGAATCTCAGAATTTCAGAATATCAGAATCTCAGAATTCCAGAATTTCGGAATTTCAGAATTTCTGAATTTCTGAATCTCAGAATTTTAGAATGAAAAGAAATAATGAATCTCCAAACTTCTCCAAATTCTCACTTTCAGTCTGCTCGCCGCCTTCGGCGTCACTTTAATTTCCTGTTCCGTTAGCATTCGATGTACTTGTCGGTTACTGTAGATTACTGTACTCCTCGCGACACGTGGCACAATTCGTCCAATCATCTGTTTTTTTTCTGAAAATTCGGTAAAAACAGACATGTAAATAGATGAAAAAGCGGTAATAATAGGTAGAAAAATTGTGATTTTTCGACATAAAAATCTCTAAAAAACGGTAATTTTCAGATAAAAATTCATACAAATAATTTGAAAAATGGGGCAAAAAATAATACAGGAAAGCACCTAAAAGCATGAGAAAAAAGGCAGGATTAAAGCGAAATTATAGGGCAAAAATTGCAGAATTTTCTAGAATTTTTTGAAAATTAAATTGGCAGGAAATATTTTGGAACTGCTTGAAAATTTGAGAATATAGGGGGAAGGAGGAGTGAATTATGTACATTTATAGCTAAAAATCTATAAAATTATAATTGGAAAAATTAGTAGAAATGAGTAAAAATGGGGGTTAATTAGGGGATTTTTGGGTTAAAAATTGACTATATTAGAGCTGAAAATGGCTCATGTTTTGAGCTAAAAATGCGAATTTTAATTACTAGAAAATTTAGATTTTCATCTATAAAATGAACTATTCTGAGCTAAAAATGCTCAGTTTTCAGGCTAAAATAGTTCATTTTTAGCTTAATATAGCTCATTTAAAAGCAAAAAATCTGAATTTTTTTTGGGATTTTTAATTTCTAGAGAATACAGATTTTTAGCTTTAAAAATGCACAAATTCCAGCTCAAAACAGCTCATTTTTAGCACAAATAAGCTCATTTTGAAGCTAAAAATTAGAATTTTTCAAAAATCAAAGCCAAAAATCGTCTATCTCCGTGGCGCTGACGATGAAGGCGTTGGAAGTGTGGGACTCTGTTGAGTGGATCGTAGACGTTGCCTTTCGAATCTTCTCTCCATTTCGTCTAACAATTTTGGCATATAGCGAACGACCAATTTCACAGAGCCAACTGCCGACTTCAGGAGGTCCACCGCTTTTTCGTGGCACTCACTTTCGACGTTCTGGAATGAAGTTTGGGTCAATTAGGTCGTTTTGATGCCAAATATACCACCTTTAAGACCATTTTTGTGCCAAAACGGTTATTTTTAAGCCCTTTTTTAAGCTGAATAGGTCATTTTTGAGCTAAAAAGACAATTTTTAGGCAAATTTAAGGCCATTCGGAGTTGAATAGGACATTTTTTAGCCAAAAAAAACTATTTCAAGATTAGTTTCGAGCCAAATAGGCCCTTTGTAGGACCATTTCAGGGCTAAATATGACACTTTTGAGGTAAATAGGCAAATTTCAGGCTTTTTTGAGCTATGCAGGCTCTTTTTAAGATTCTTTTTGAGCTGAATAAGCCAATTTAAATACCATTTTCGAACAAAAAGGCAACTTTTAAGACTATTTTGAGCCAAATAGGCTATTTTTAAGACCATTATTGAGCTAAACAGGACATTTTTGAGCCAAAATGGCCATTGTTTTTGAGCCAAATAAGCAATTTTTTTCAAGCCAAAACGGACATTTTTAGACTGAAATGAGCAATTTGACCGGTTCAAAAAGGTGCATTTCGAACTCAAAATATCGTTTTTTTAATGCCCGAAATGGGCAATTTTTTAACCAAAAATAGATTTTCTAGACTCGAAATTGCTCATTTTGGCTGCTACTGAAACGATTTAAAATCTCACCACTCCATTAACAGCAATCAGTTGATCACCTCGCTTCAGACCACCTTGTCGATCAGCCACGCCTCCGGGAATTATTCTGGAATTTTAAGTTTTAGACTTTTCGGAAAATTTAAGAATTTACCTAGAAATATAAATTGGCGAGTTCTGCTCCTTTCCACCCATCACATTGAAGCCGAGTCCTTGATCGGTTTTCGGCAGCTCTATGATTCGTGGATGGGCGTGGCCTTCAGCGGCGGCAAACGCCGCCACTGTGGCTTTGGCTGTAGCTGATGCTTTTGTCTGGAATTTTTGAAACTATAGGAATGGCTAATTCTGGACTATTTCTGGCCAATTACGGACTTTTTTAACCCAAATATTGGACTATTTCTGGCCAAATTTGGGGTATTTTTGGCTAATTTTTGATCTATTTTCACTAATTTTTGAATAATTTTGAGCTCATAGTTGGCCAATTTTAAACTGTTTCTAGTCGATTTTAAACTATTTTTGGCTAATTTTAGACTATTTTCAGCCGTTGTTTTACTATTTTTTTTGCGTCGATTTTAGATTGTTCCTGGTAGATTCTGGAATTTTTGGTTATTTTTGGACTATTTTTGACTTATTTGGAAACTATTTTCAGGCTATTTTTGGACAATTTCTGATTTGGGCGTATTTTTAACCGGTTTTGATTATTTTTCAAGGATTTTGGCCAATTTTGGACTTTTATTAACCTAAACTTTGACGTTCTTCTGGCTAATTCTTGACTATTTTGTCTCATTTTGAACTATTTTTTTTTCAAAATTTAAGCAATTTCAGTCTATTTTTTTACCAAATTTCGGGCTTTTTCGTCAATTTTCGACCGCTTGTTAGGTCAATTTTCAACTATTTTAGCCCAAATTTTTTGGCTAATTTTGGATTTTTTTTGGCTGATTTACTTCATGAATATCTCAAATTTTTAATAGTTCGAAATTTTAAAATTTTTGAAAATATATTTTTTTTTCAAGACCAATTCTCTTACAAATCGTCACTATGAGACGCTTTTTGCAGTCGAAATATGGGATTTTACAAACTTTTTTACTGCAACAAATCTATTTGGATCATTTATGGCCGTTTTTTTTTTCAAAACTTCAGGCTGAAAATTTGGTTTTTGAGATGCAAAAATCTAACCGTCAGAATCAATTTTCAGCAATTTTCTAGATTTTTCTATCCCAAATTTACCTCCGGCGCTGTATCCGCATCAATCGAGTCGTAAACCGTCTCATAAACCTCTCGAACCGCTCCGAAGAACTCGGATTGAAGAACCTGTTGAAGCGATGCCAGCTTCGGATTGTTGACCTCTCCAGTCTTCTGCACATGCTCCATGAGCTCCAGAATGCGTTGAACGTCACGCTCCAGATTCGGACCGTCCGGAATGTCCATTCTAGGGCTAGAACAGAGGGTTTTAGGTCGAAAAATGGTGAAAAATCGATATAGAATTGGCCCAAAAAACCAAAAAGTGAGAAAAAAAAGAAAAAGAAAAATTTAGAAACCAAAAAAAAACCTTTTTATAACAAAAAAAACGGACAACTAGGTGACTAAATACCCCGTAAAATCAGAAATTAACAGAAAAAAAATTCTAGACCATTTTGAGCCGATTTCCATGAATTTTGAGGTCTTAAAATAGCCAAAATCTTCATTTTCAGCGTTAAATCTCATGTCTCAGTGTATGGTTCTTCGATGGTTCCAACGGAATCACATTGAACGTCATCTTGTACAAATCCACGTCTCGTCGATACTCGTACGCCTTCATTTCTTCGATTTCAAAATCCACGTCGCACTTTTCACGTGTGATTCGCACGACGCCGTCGCAGTGGGCTCTCAGAAGACGTTCGCCGCGGTCGTTCTCGTAGTAGACCTGAAAATTGAGAAATTAGCGAAAATTTTGGGTTCGAGGGGCAAATTTGGGATTTTAAAGCATAAAAAATAGTTTTTAAACACTGGAAATTACCTAGAAAACATGGGATTCAAGATTTCTGACTGAAAATCTAGTTTCTAGCCGAAAATTCAATTTTTCAGCTCAAAATATCTTTTTTTTTTTCATTTTTCTGCTAAATTTCTTAACAAAAACTCACATTCAAGCCCGGGTGATAGTTCATTTTGAACTGATTCACCAGCAACTCGTCTTTCCGCACCACCTCCCCATCTTTTCTGAAAATTCCGCGATATGGGAGGTTTTTAGGCGGCCGAATCATTCCGCGAACTTGTTGAAAGCTGCGAGACACCACTTTGAGACTCATCTGCAAAAAAATCAGAAAATTTGAACGAAAACGGACGAAATTGAGTTGCATCATAAAAATGTTAAAATTCAAAAAATTCAAAGCACCATAAAAATCGTTTTTTGCCATAAATTCGACAAATCTTTTCAATTTTCCTGTTTTTTTTTGCTATTTTGAACGGTTTTCTCTTTGAATAAGTATCTTTTTTCCAGAAAATGCTCCGAAAATCCGATAAATGTGCATCGAAATTTTCGAGGAGAGTACGGTCAACATTTGAAAGTACGCAGAGTACGCAGAGTGTTTGCACACCGTACCCCTGGCAACCTGCTCATCTAAGCGAGAATCCTCGCGGCAAATTCATTTCGAAAAAAGCTTTTTTCGGCAAAATCGCCGGATTTTTCGAATTTTTTCTGTTTTTTTCTCGATTTTTAGGTTAAACATGTGATTTTAAGCTAATATTGATTGTAAAAATGCCAACAAGACCGTAAGTTCCACCTAAAAGGTATTTTCACCGAAAAATGATTTGTTCCGAAAATCGATGTTGCGACCCATTTTCATAGTGATAAACCTATATTTTTTGGTTTCAAATGTGATTTTAGTGTAAAACTATATATAAAAATGCTAAAAAATACCACAAATTACATCTGAAAAGTGGTATTTTCACCAAAATATGAATATTTCGTAAAATCGATGTTGCGACTCAATTCCACTGCGATAAAACGACAAAAAAGAAAAATAGCGGAAAAATCATCGTTTTAAAAGTCAGATTCATGTTATAGAAACCTCATGGGGTTATGCATGATTTGTTTTTTAAATACAAAAAAATACGAAGAAATACATGAAATACATTTTTTCGCATGCATGCATTAATTTTTTGTGTACAAAAATTCCAAAAAATACTTTTTTATGTCATGAATAACCCCATCAAAAAGAATAAAAACTGTTCAGAAAATTATATAAAAATCTGAAATTGCTATGGAAATCAATAAAAACATTTCCAAATAAAAAAGTAATTAAATTGCATCAGAATTTCCAAAATTTTTTAATTTTTTTCCGGTTTTGGCTCATTTTTAATTTCATAATTTTCTCATTTTCTGCATCTATTTTCTGCCCCTATTTTCTGCTCTCAATTCCTTTTCTCTCATTCAAAACGATTTTCAGAAGCACTAACGTCGAAAATCGAAAAATGGGAAAGCGAAAGTCAAAGAGGAAGGCACCAACCAAGGCGAAGGCTGTCGTTCCGCTCGATACTCAATTCAACTGTCCATTCTGCAATCATGAGCGCGTCTGTGAGGTGAAAATGTAAGTGAAATTACTAAAAATCGCTGAAAAATCTCGAGCTTTCTATTTTTAAAGATTAATTTATCCTCTGACCCAGAAAAAAATATTTTTTGAAGAAATGAGGTTTTAGAACCTGAAAAATTGTAATTTTCCAATTTCTCAGGGATCGCGAGAAGAACGTCGGCTACATTGCGTGTCGTGTGTGCTCTGAAGACTTCCAAACCAACATCAACTACCTTTCCGAACCCATCGACGTCTACTCCGACTGGGTGGACGCGTGTGAGCAGGCCAACAACGCCTGACCTGTTTTCTAAATTATTCCTTTCTCTCTATTCCCTCCATTCTGCGTCTGATCTCTGATTTTCTCAGCAATTTTTCGATTTTTTTTGCTTCGGTTTTTCCCTTCCCTGGATCATCAGTGCATCGCCCCAATCGCCCATATACATACACCTAGAAACCCCAAAACCGGTCCCTAATTTTTCTGAAAATCCTATCACAAAAGGTGTAAATACATAACCTTCACATCATGCTCTTCTTTTTGTACAATACTTTCCTATATTCTTCATCTGTTCTTCATGTTTTTTTACTCCTCCACTGAAAAGCTTCTAAAACCATCTATCAGACTTTATTCAAATTTAGACTAGTTACATGTAAAATGGCAGTTTAGGAAATCGAAAAATTATTCATCAATTGTATTCAGCTTGACACACGCCTCCATCAGACATCCGACGGACCACGCCTGCGCATCACAACTCTGTCTACAGTACTCCCCATTGGCATTCGTCAACTCGGGAAGCGATCTCCATGGCGAATCGATCAAGTGTTTGTAAGCGCTACCGAGACGCTCTTGGACCTGACGGATGGCGTATTTCTTTTCGGCGCCTCCAAGAATTTCTCCAATTTTGAGACGAGCCTGAAGGTAATAACCGGCGACGAACAGCCATTCAGGTCCCTGATGGTAATTCCAGCCTTTTGCGGTAACCTTGTTGGTACCGTCATCATCGTTGTTGTAGTAACCGTTGTAGTTCCAATCGGTTGGATCCAAGGTCTACAAAAATCGGAATTTTGATTTAAATTCAAAAAAAAGATTTGTATGTCTTACCTTAATTCCCAGCGGTCCCAAAAGAACCTCCGCAGTATCCAATGCCTTCCACGCCTTCTTCGGATCCATAATATCTGGAGCGACTGCCAACGCGATGCCATAATTACATCTCAATTCCCAATCCGTGAATCCAAGGCTCGACCCGAATGAATCCTTCAAAATCTCCGTACGATTCACAAACTCGCCAGTAGCCCCCTTCTCCACGTAGAATCGTTTCTCGAAGTTTCTCCGAATTTTCTCCGCCCAAAAGCTCCAAGACCAGTCGTCACTGACTCCGCCCCTCTCGATAAGCCCCGCCTTCTTCCAGTCGGCCAGCGATCGAAGGGTACGGTAGGCGAGACCTTGTAGTTCGACGGCTGCTCCATCACGAGGTGTTGCCGGTTCTCCTTTGTTTCCCGCACGCTCACTACTCCCCATTTTGTCCATCCACGTTCCGCAGTTCCAGCGATTTCCGCCTTGAATGAAGCCAGTGGTTCGAGAGACACTTACAGTAACCTGGAAATTCACACATTTTGATTTGTCTCTTGCTGGCCTAGTTTTCGAATTCTAGGCCACTGAATCTCTAAACTCACCCTAAATCCCTCATCTCTCATTTGCTCATCAATTTGTGGTCCCGCATTTCTCTCCCGGAAATCAATTCCAGCAAAGTGTTTCTCGATGGCCTCGTAAATCGTATCAATCAATCTCTCCTCCTTCTCTGCGTCTCCATAAACTGTATCATCTTTTGGATAGATCCGACGAACCGGGTCTTGAAGGATTGCAATTCCATTCGGTGCCATTTCCACATATTTCACAATGGAGACCAGCCAAAACCACGTGGCATCTCGACAATTGTATCGGGCTCCGATGCCTTCAGCAAGCAGATTCGGTATCAAACCATGACGAAGTGATCCAGCAAAAGATAGAATGATTTGGCGGGCTTCTTGGAATCGTCCAGTCGCTAGAAGGCATCCGGGAAGAGCGATGAAGGTGTCACGACCCCAATTTCTCCAGATTCCAACTGAAAAATGAGAGAGTCCGGCAGCGAGACTCGACGGATGCTCATCTTCTAGCTTTAGGGATTCTGGAATAGGGGCGAGTCCGGCGCCTGGAATATAGCCGAGGAATTCCAGTGTTGAGATGGCCAAGTGACGGATTAGAGCAGATGACGAGTGGATTTCTCTGAAAAATATAATTAAAGAAATGTATTTTTGCGAGGTTCGACACTTAAAAACTGAATTTGGATTGTTCAGCGCTTCAAAATGAGCTCACATATGACCTAATTGGCCAGGCCAATTCGGCCTAGTTTGAAGATATTTGGTTTCCTAGGCCACGGCCACCAAAATGGATTTTTCTGAAAACTAGGCCATCAAGAAGAGTGGCTCTTCATCTTCCAAATAATGTGGCTGATGGGCGAAATGGCTTAAATTTAAAAATTTGGTTTTCTAGGCCACGGCCACCTGAGTACCAAAATCGATTTTTCTAGAAAACTAAGTTATCAAGTCATAATTAAGGGTTCTATTTTTGTGGTAAATGTCTTTTCAGCTTCAGAATGAGCCTTCACACGACCCAATTAGCTTATTTTCATATATTTCGGTTGGTGGCCTAGAAATCCAAAAACCCGGCCATCGTCCAAATTTTAAAAAACTGAGATAAAACCTAGTCATGATTATTCTGCTTTTGAAGCTCTTGTCTTGAAAAATCTATTATTGGCAGTGACATGACCTAGTTTTTCCCGAAATTTCGATTTCTAGGCCATCAGCCTAAATTGAGAAAAGTTTGCCGAAAAGAATAGATTCAAAAAGCTTGTTTATAAGAAAAACAACTATTTTTGGAATTCAGAAAGTAAAATTTTGAGATTGGCTTGCTCAGAACTTCAAAATGAGCCCAAGAACGAGTGTTTCTATGTATCTTACTTTGGTGGCCTAGGAATCCAAAACTCGGCCACCAATCTCATAATCCATAACATATTTGAAATTGACTAGTCTCGAGCTTTTGAATGAGCTTAAACATGCCTCAATTTGATCAAGGGGACAAATCCAATTTTATACTTAAAATTAAGATTGGTGGCCGAGAAAATGCATAATTCGGTTTTCTAGGCCACCGTTGTAAAACGACTGTAACTAATGTTAAAATGATCGTACAAAATAGTGATTAGGCTTAAACTGAAGCCAGATACTTACGATGCCATTCGACTCAACGCCTCTTTTCTCGCTTTTCCATAGATATGAGCAATCAGTACTTCAAAGTACGCAGGTCTCAAGTAGTACGGTACACGTTCAAGAGGTTTTAGAAGTTGTTCAATCACTTCAGAAACTTCCAGAAGCTTCGGGAATTTTGCCAATCTTCCAACAATATAATCACAAAGCCAAGTGCCGTCTCGAAGATTCTGGCACAGTGGATGGCCCAAATCGTTGTGGTCCCGGATTTTGTCTAGGACTGGAATTAGGCCTTGTAGGCCGCAATAGACAAATTTTCCAAAGTTCGGAACATCATATCCGCCTTGTTCGATTGTCGCATAGTCTTCCGATTCACAGTGGAATAGAAGGGTCGGGAAGGATTGATAGGTCAGTTTGGAGAGGGCGGAGTCCAGATGAGGGGAGGAGGCTGGAAAATAAAATATTTGAGTTTAGCGGGTGAAGAGCTTTAAAATGAGCTTAAACGTCTTAACATTTAGTTGGGTTCGACCGGTATTGAATCATTTTTAGTGTGGTGGCCTAGAAATCCAATTTTCTCAAAAACTAGGCCACCAATTTGAACATAAAATACAAATCCGGAATAAGCAAATCAGGAGTTTCAAAACAAATATACTCATGACTATCCTTCCTAGCCACATGGCCTAGTTTAGGCACATAGCCTAGTTTTGGATTTCTAGGCCACTAGATGAAAAATTCAAACTTTTGCAAAATGTGTCATGTTTATACTCATTTTGAAGGGCGAAAAACGGAGAAAAAAGTACGAAATGCAACAATTTTTGTACCATTCGATTCAGCAACACTTGCGCTTTCAAACGAGTATACTCATAACTATCCTTCCTAGCCACATGACCTAGTTTAGGCGCATGGCCTAGTTTTGGATCTCAAGGCCACAATACGAAATATTCGAAATTCTGCAAGAAATGTCATGTTTATACTCATTTTGAAGCTTAGAAATCAAGAAAGTTGATGATATCAATGCAATTTGTTTTGGTGGCCTAGTTTCCGAGAAATTCCTAGTTTTGTTCGGTGGCCTAGAAACCCAATTTTCTCAAAAACTAGGTCACCAAACGCAACAATTTTTGTACCATCGGATTAAGCGAGCTTTGCACTTTCAAATGAGTGTAAACATGACTTAGTTATCTCGAAATTATATTTTTGGGTCCTGCCACGAAAATACGGTAAATAGGAAAGGATTTCGTATTGGGACCCAAAACTATCAGAAGGGGGTCGTGATGGGTATCATTTCAAAGCTCCCGGCATAGCGAGTTTGAAAAAGTAAATTTTCGAGTTAGGTGGCCTTGTTTTGGAGTTCTAGGCTCTCTTCGAATTCTTGCTGTTTGAACCAATTTTTCCCTAAATTTTCTTACCTATAGATTGATGAATCTGCTCGAAAGCGCTGGCAGCCTCATCAGATGGTCGAATTTTGAATCCAATGACAGATCCAGATGGGAAATTAGTGAGCTCAATGAATCCAGTGGGTCCACCATGCAATTTGAACATTTGCCCCTCCTCCAAGCCGGCATTTTCTCGAATTTCCATTTCGAAAATTTTCAGTCCTTCCAGAAAATTCGAATTCTCCGGATTCCATTCGTCTTGCTGCTTGTTTAGCTTCATTTCAAAAAGAACAGATTCAAGGACGCCTCCAATTGGGATATGCTTCAAACCAGCCGGCCAATTTACATAATTTTTCGAAAAAGCTGTATGAGAGACCACGACTACTGTCTCATGACTACGTGGATTGTGTCTAGTGATTCCGACGATATCCGAGTTCATTTGATCCACGAAGACCTGATTGAAACCGTGCTCGGCGAGCCATGTGTGCAAATTATTCAGAATTTTTCTCCCAGCGATGATTCCTTGAGATGAGGTTACCTCGTCGGACCATGAGGCGTACGGGCGGGTCTCATGGACAACATGGATCTGAAATTTTCAGAATTTAAAGTCGTAGAGTCTGGAAATGGGCGTCAATTTTGGAATCTGGACAAAATTCCAGTCTAGAACGGTTCTGTTCGGATTTTCTGTTGTCATTTTTAAGATTATTGGATTACTGTAGCTTGGAATGTGTGCAAACACCGAATGCACTTGATTCGGCGCGAAAATGCAGATAAATTCAATTTTTGTTTAAAAAAAGAAAGATGATCTTGCGCATTCGGTTTTTGCACATCTTCGAAGCTACAGTAACCCAAAAACCGTTGAACATGGCCTAGAAATTTGAAAAAAAAACGTTCCTAGACTGGATTTTTGTGCTTTATCCAAATTTGGTACCAATTTTTAGAAATTTGCGATCAAAATTCGAGAAAAATCAAATTTTCAAAGTTTTTCATCAATTTCAGCTGCTGCGACTTAATTTTAGATTCTAAAATTATCAAATTCGACTTTTCCGCGTCTTTTCACATCAAAACGGCGCTTCTCAGCTATTTTTCTGCAATTTGGCGTCAAATCCTGTGCACTCGGTGTTTGCACACGAGGCTACAGTAATCCAAAAATCTTCAAAAATGATCTAGAACTTTTCAGAAAAAACAGTTCTAGACAAGATTTTTGTGCTGAATCCGAATCTAATAACCATTTTTTGAATTTCCTTAAAACTTACATGATCTCGAACCAGCTCATCGTATCCTCGATTACTTCCCACTGCACACGAGGCCATCGTGAGCATTGCGGCCGTCGGAAGAATATCGAAAGCACTTCTCGTGTGAATTGGCGACGGATTATCGTGTGATTGATCCAGAAATAGGCCATGAGCAATGGATTCGGGAGCGAGACGGGCGGATTTCTGTTTGAACGCTCCCACACAATCGCCACCGTATCTGTAATGAAAAATTGAGAGTTCGAGACCTAAAAATTTGAAATTGCCGCAAAATTTTGGTCTAGAAACTTTTTTTTGAATTACTGTGCTCTCGAAAGTGTGCAAACACTGAATGATCAACTCTTGTGCATACGGTTCTTGCGGACTGTTTGGGCTACAGTAACCAAGAAATTCGAATTTCGAATAACAAAAAAACCTATTCCCGACCAAAAACACCATAGCAAATCTAAATTTTTCACCTAAAAATCTCCAATCCTCACCTATAAACCAATCTACCCTGTTCATGACTATCCCCAGCACTTTGCGCCTCTCTAATCAATGAAGAGATGCCTAATCGATTGACAAACATGTTATCAGCATGCTCAGATCCTGTGAATAGCTCAGCAAAAACATAGATATCTGGTCGGATTTCTCGTGCGATTTTCAGCAGCTTCTCTGCCACGTGGATCGGTGTCCCATGGGCGTTATCAATGCGAAGTCCATGGAAGATACGGGCGGCTTGTTGAGTGTATTCTCTCATGTATTGCCATAGGAACGGACTGTCCTCTTCTTTTTCGCCGTAGTTCAATTTGACAGAGTCACCCCAACACACCAGCTCACGACGGAGGTAGACCTGAAGAAACATTTTATTTGGAGGGCCTATACTATACCTACTTTTGTTCGGTGGCCTAGAAACTTGATTTTCACAAAAACTAGACCACCAACTTTGGAAATTGTAGCTTTTTTGAATTACCTATTTTGAGAGCTTCAGAATGATACCCATCATGACCCCTTTTGACAGTATCGGGTCTCACCACGAAAATTATTTTTCCAAACTACCGTAATTTCGTGGCGAGACCCAACTTCGAGAAAACTATGTCAAGTTTATACTCATTTTCAAGTTCTCAATAAGAAAAAGAGGAAAACGTCGAAAGTTTCAGTATTGGTGGCCTAGTTTTCTAGATATTAGTCTGATGGCCTAGAAATCCAAAACTAGGCCATGCTTGTAATTCTTGAAAGCATAGTCATGAGTATACTTATTTTGAAGACTATGAATAGCTATTTTCAAATCTGTAAAAAAATTCGGACTTGGCGGCCTAGTTTTCCAAATATTCGAGTTTCTATGCCACGAACCTTTTTGCTCAAAATGACTCAAAAAGAGTGATATTAGGCTCATTTTGAAGCTGATATTGAGCCAAATTCATACAAATAAATAATAACAAATCTCAAAAACACTATAATTTTTTACCTGCGAATCCTTCAACGCAAAATTTTTCATCGGGTCACTGCTCATGACCCATCCATTGAAAGCCATCAAAAACTTGGATTTCTCCGGATCATACGCCAATTTCTGCTCGGATCTCCATCCCATTTCCGGTTCCAAATGTAGAAAATAGTCAGTGGTGAGTGGATTTTCCGGAGAGACACGCCCCTTTTTTGGTCCATGCTCAGCGATTCGTTCGTACGAGATTCCGCCCATGACGGCTCGTAGACCGGCTAAAATGACTTCCCATGACTCGCGAGCGGCATTTAAATTTGCCTGATGGAGAGCCTCTTCGAAGCTTTTCACACATTTTTGAATTCGTTCTTCTTCTGAAATTGTTTTTTGAATTCGGCGCCAAAACGTAGACTTCTGTAGCTCTGGTTTGTGTGCAAACACCGTGCATCACAATTGACGACACTTTGCACAGAAATTCAATTTTCTGTGAAACGGCGTTTGCACAGAATTCAGAGCTACAGTAATCTCCGAATTTCTTACCATTCCCCGCATCTCCTCTCTCCCGATTGAAAATTCTCGCTGATCTCTCAAAATCTACAGTATTCCCGAATCGTCGATATTCAGGATCTTGCAGAATTTTTACGGTTTCCCCGTCCAATGGATCTTTCGTTGGACCGTCGGCTTGTTTGATGAACATCTCGAAGAGACTTGTCATCGCCTGAATAATTTTAGTTTATTGGATTTTTACTAGAAATGTCTCATATGTCTGGAAAAGGTGACATCAAGTTCAGAACCTACATCGAATTCTAGCCCAGATACGCGTTTTTTTCTGGGTCTCTACCGTCTTTTTAGCAATTTTGGGTTACTGCCGGTAAAACCATGAAAATTCACAAAATTTGTTTTGCAAGTTTCAAACCAAAAAAAAATTGAATCTGGGATACTGTAACTGAATAGTTGTGCAAACACCAAATTTTACGAAAAACTTCTTAAAATTCGAATTTTTTATAATTTTCGACCGGGAAAATAAGAAGTTCAACATGAAAAAACGATAAAAATCCATAAAAATAATTTTAAAAAAAACAAATCTAGGCTACAGTAGCTCGAAAATTGTGCAAAAACCTGGCTCCTCAAAATTCAATGCCCTTTCAGGTTGGATAGTGCGATTCAAGCGTGGCTCATCGCTTCTCGGAAAACGGGTTACTGTATTCACTACAGTATGCCCAAACCGCCCCTTGGAATGGTCAGAAGGCAAAGACCACCTGTCGGTGTACTGTCAAGTTCGCTGTGAGACCGCCGGCTCG